GTCTTCTCTTTAATGTACTAATTTCTTGCAATATCTTACAACATTTTTTGTGGTAGTGTTGGAACTATGCTTGTATAATTTTGTTTATCTAAGAATCAAAGATAGACCTATTTTATAACTCTTTTGACTTCCCTACGAAACAGCGTATTATCTTACAGTAATGCTGCGAAACGGGAGGGTATCAAAATTGACAGATTTATATCTACAAAGTTTGAGTTACTAGTTTTATGAGTTTTTAAAAACCGTTTCTTAGTAGCATCAAAGCATAATCGCCAATAATGAAATTTTTGCGAGCAAAAAGATTTACTCTTCAATTGGTCGCTTACGATTACTATTTCAACCGAGCTTAAGCTGGCCATACACACGCGTGGTACGTATTAGTGTGCATGGGTATGACCAGCTTTATCCCAGCTAAGGATGCTCACATTGTAAAAGCGACACTTATTACAAATAGGAAGGCACTGAAAACGAATGCGTTTCCAATGTTTTTTTCTGTTGAAGTGGTGATTTCAAGCTCCATTCCAAGAAGCTTTCATTCACAAATACTGGATCTCCTTTTCTCACTAGAAAATTTTGGTCAATTATAAGTGTAGTACAACATATATCCGTAATTCGAATTGCTAGTATCTCAGTTACATTAAATAGTAATATATAGAGGTATTTTGAGTAAATATCTTTGAGATTTGTTTGGTATTGCAAGAATTCGAGCAAAAACACTCATATATAAGATGAGCAAGACTGAATAATAACATTGTAAATAAATTGTTTTCAAACTATGAAAATCAAACATTAACATGATATATTGTTGTTCAATTCGTTCTCAAAATTTGGTGTGATCATGGTAAACTTAGAATTTTCACTGTTTACTTTGTTAACTTAGAATATGTAGTTCTTTTAGCTGACCATATACTAAATACATGTATGCGATACCATCTGTCCATTTGATCGGGTGCATTTAGTTTGATAAATTTTCTGACATTTTCAAAATTTGGAGAAAAAGATACTCGTTTTCAAATTTTTGAAGTACGTGTAATAGATTTTGGTGCTTGAAGGATATTTGTTTCTCTTAGTTGTGGTACCGAGACTACTTTTTTCTAAACGAGTACCGGGTTCTAGATCTGATTCGAATACCGAGTACTCGGTGGAGTAATATACTTTGATTATTTCAGATATTATTAAGATTATATTTGCGTTTTTGAAAGGTTCATTTATTCTCAAAGACACATTTTTACGAGAGTATCGTCTTATAGTGTACGTATGGTATTTTCTGAAGTTTTTTTAATATCAAAGAATGTGGTTCCTAAACGGAAAAGGGCATAAAAGCATATCGTCCGCCACTGTTAACACATTTGAGTACCATGGGGTCCGACGCGTTAGCAGTAGCGTGTGATGCCATTTTGATATGTGTGTATAGGTATATATTTTTTTATGTAGAATTGACATTACATCTTTGGAACACTTATATTTAAATTTTCAATCCTTCCTATCTCAAGAAAAGTACATTTGTAAGACGTTCAAATGTATGTAGTCGAAATCTTGAAGCTGCTCATATTTTGAAAAAAATACCTAATATGATCCTGGCATCTCGTACACTGAATTTAAATCGTATAGATTTTTGAGCTGCTTTTGAGAGGTTGCAAAAGAAATATACTACTGCACCAATATTTTAAGGTAAACAGTATTAAAAGTTTTTCTGAGCTATATCTAGATCACGTAATTTTGCAAACTAAATGCACTCAACTCGTGAAAGTAATAACATGAGTGAGCCTGCAATTCGTAGATCACGAATATGGTCAGGTAAAAAATATCGGTCTAATACTTATCTCGACATTGTAATTATTGGTACAAATTCTTGATTATATGCATATTTTTTTAGAGTTGTTCAAAAATGTTCTTGTTATGTTGAAGAAAAAAATATTCGAACGAACGATGGCCTAAGAAAGCTGATCGCTGCGGTTGAATAAAAATATATTCGGAACTATTATGTAAGACATGGTATAAAAACATGTGTAGTAGTCGGAAACAGAATTTTATTGCACCCTTTCCTGTTTACTTTTCTTGTGATAATAATTGTTAAAAATAATTAAGTAGGAGTATAGGTATAGTCAACAAAAATAACACCAGATCCTACTTATCAAATAACGATATTAACATTATCCATTGAAACTACTGCATATGATTTTTAGCTATTGTTTCTTTTTTAGCAGGGTCTTCTAGGGGGAGGGCTAAACTTCAATTTAGACACAAAATAATGATTTTTAACTGAGTTTTCAAGCATTGAATATGGCCATTTTTAGGGTTTCCATACGTCAAATCGCTTATAACTTGAGAATAGTAAACGTCAAAGTAGAGTTATTAAGGACCTTTCACTTCCAAAACCACTAGGCGAGGAAGTATTGCAATCGCTAAATCTTTAGAAAATCAGATACTGTTTTTTTTGGATGTTATATGATATGTAAATCACTAAAAACCATGTCTGACTGTCGGTCCGCTAATCCTTGGCTCGTCTGTCACTTGAGAACTAACGCTCGAATTTGGATAACATTTTCACTCAAGGTTACAACTATACCGAGGACAAACAATTTTTATAGTTTTTGAAAATTGGTTCAATGCCAAAAACGAAACAAATGAAAATAAATAAAAATAGCTTCTTTTTTTTGACGTTTCAGAGAATCCTGTTCATTATTTTATTGACAGCGTTGCGTGGGAAGTTTAGAAGTCAACCTACTTGACACCATTTTTTGTTCGTAGTGATTCAAATGTCTTTTCTTTCCGGAGCGATTTTTTTTTTTGTAATTGGTAAAAAAGTTGTTTAAATACTCTTGCACTTGGTTACTGCAAACATCTTTTTGGATATTATTGGTACTTTTCTTTCCAATTTTTTGGATGACTTACCTAACAATTACATTGAAACACATGTTTGTTGTTGCGGATCTGGTGTTAGTTCCTTTTCGTCGTGTAACTCTTGAGAAATATTGGAAAAGTAGATATTTGTGCATTTGCTCAATGTAGATTTATTGATATGCTCCAAGGGAGCGATTATATTATTGATATATTATCTATTTGTCATTTTAAATGACGAAAATTTTTTGTGGTACGAAACAAAGCGTTGATGTACGATGTGTCAAATTTCGAAACCTGACTTCCAAAATATGCCAATACCAAACTTTTCGGCATGTGCCTGCAAAGTAGAAAGAACATTTTAGCAGTAAATCAAGTTGTACCCCCTTTTCTCTGTGCATACATCATATAAGGATGTTTGTTTTACGATTACCTTAAGTACAATTATTACTTTTCAATGAATAGATATACCGCAAAGCAGCTCGATGAAACACAAAACAGAAATAACATGATCTGAATTTTCGTATTTTAAAATCCAGATGCATATAGGTTTTGATTCTTCTCCGGTTTTTTCTTTTTAAACTTGTATTGTATACTGTCTGATAGTCCGTTGAGGTGTATATGGCAATAACTTACTGTATAACTATATATCCAATACGGGAGGAGCAGCCTCTGTTAGAGAAAGTGATTGTATAACCTTTAGTCTATAGTCACTGACCAAAGGTGCTCCTTTGTCGTCTTATAAATGGCAATGATCTTATATGTGTTGATTTTCTGAGTAGATATTTTTCAGGAGTTACATTTAACATCCTTGTTTTCTGGGTGCTGAAAGCATGACAATTTGGTTTTCTTCATGAAAAACTTAGATCTTCATATTTGTGCTGTGTACAATCATTTATTCAAAGTTTTATTAAACTAAGAGTCATTCCATTATCTCTGTACCATTTCGTTGGAAATAAACAAAATTTGCTTAATATCGGAATTTCAATTAATAATAATCGGTACATGCCTAACTAACGGAATAAGGTGAGAATATATTGGATGTTGTTTTTGTAGAAATGCATGTACTTTTTGTTTTCAAGAGGTGACATACGTTTGTTACACATTTTATATTTTGAATTTATACCGTTGTTTTGATGTAGTTTTTTTCTGTTGGTGTGTTTAAAGCTTATTTCTATTTTCTACTTGTATTTTGTTGTAGGACATATCTACGTGTTTACTGAGTTTTGTGATTTTAAAATAGTGTTTGCCATCCTTGGTTCTGGGACATGTGATGTTATAGATTTTCTCTTGTATTCACCATTTTTACGACAACCTTTACAATAAGGAATGAAACAACTTATGTGTGAGGTATTAATTCTTTTTCTATTTGAAAAGCTTATATATTCATTTTTATCAACGTGACATCTGTCAAATATACTCTGCGGCATTACAAAGTGGTATGGAACCAAAAGACCCAATTTCTTTTTTGTTTAAAACCGGCTGAATTTTGAGAAGGTGGACGTACGACCCGGCGGATCTTTCTAGGGCGGGGCCAGAATGTGTGCATGTGGCTATCCCCCCATAGCCCCACGTTACCTACTGCTGTATTTAGGCGTTCATGGTGGTTTAAGTATATATAATTCCATATGGACATGAACGACATGTGCCATCAAGATCGCAATGATGGCCGCATTAAGGGTAAGGGTATCTCACTGAAACAAAGTAAAAATGCTATACTCGTACACGCTTTGCCCTGTTAAAAGAAAAATTACACAAAAAATTTACCTATTGAACCCACCAGAAATTTTCATGGGGTTTTCTGCAGTCTCATATAATGAATTGAACTGAATCTATGCGGCAAAGAAAATGACATCAATTGGATAAATAAAAAATCGATTTCGTCAGTACTTCCACATAACTTGATTTATTTTTTTTCCATATCGCTATCGGAATACCCTACATAATATAATTTTGATCTGAATTTAAGGAGTAATATTTCTAGAGCAAGGTATTAAACCACAATGCTTTAGGGTATTTCTCTTGAACATTCAGCTCAATTCGCAACAAATTAGTTACCGCATTCCCAAAATATGAGAAAGTGTTAGTCTCAGATCATGATGGTGGCACTACTCAACACAACCCGTATATCATTAACTTACTATTTTTTCTTCTTTCAGATGACGCCAAGAAAGAAATGTTGGATAACTCGAACGGCTTGGATCCCAACGTTGAAAACAACAACTTCTACTGCTCGACCCCGATCAAGCCCTTAAACGGCAACATATCCGAACTATCTCTGAAGGCCACCAATGGCACATACACTCCCCCACAAATGGACAACGAATCTATACAAGAATACACCAAAGAACAGCTGATGAATAGCATCAACGCGAATGTTACCAACGCGAATATCAACACCACGACTATTATTGCGGATATAGAAGGAGAGGTTAAGAAGAAGCCGAGACATTCCTTTGACAAGGCGTACTATATCGCCAAGGAGATTTTAATGACTGAGCTAACATACAAGAAGGATCTGGATGTCATCAATGTGGTAAGATTCGACTTTAGTTCGTAAGCGTGGCAGCAAAATCTTTTTTTTGCAATAAAATGAGAGAACAACACCTATAGATATTTTCACCATCTCCCTCTAGATGCAAGCTTAGGGGTTTTTCGAATAACATCTTTTTTCATAGTTATAAATCATTGTTTTCTCGGATCATTTTTTTTTTAAAACAAACGTTATTCATAAAATCTGTAAGTTGTCCCCTACCGATTATAATTAGCTTTTATGATCCTACGCGTGAGATTGCGCGATTTTAGACTGGTATCAAAACAAAACAGTATTGTAGTTTTTTTTTCTGCTCTCATATAGTTAGTAGTAGGCATGTAACAGTTGATATCACTATTTTAAAATAGAGCAAGGGATGAGTGGAAGAGCACGCAGGTCGTGAACTCCCCCTTGGGATTCGAGAGCAATTATTCCTATTTGTTGAACACTATTTTTGTATGCATTGTCTCTTCGAATAAAGCCATTTATTATTATTATTATTATTATATGTTGACCAGGAATCCAACCAGGATCATCCTTGTCTGTTAAATCTGCATTTCGCTCCACCAATTTTGTTGCTCAAAACGTTACTTTTACTAAAACATCTGAAACACATTCTTGCATATTTTGCTTATTCCTGTTATCAAGACTTATCAAAGACATAATAATCCATATGTCCACCAGCATTTTAGAGAATAGCAGGAATTCTGAACAATGAACACGTTACGTTTCCCTCATCGTTAAACAATTTACCACCGTACAAAGGGAGACTTTTCAACAGTTCTTCATAAATAGCTAAATAACAGTAACAATTTCCAACGAAGAAGAAGGCACAAACCTTACGGAAATCAGTGCCTGACGAATCTTACTCAAACTTTGGAAATAAGCTCTCCAAAGCATCCTGATCAAAAGTTCTCCTGGGCTCGTAGCAATCCTATGAAGCGTTTTCATGATCAAGCATCAAAGAACGGAGTATTGCTCCTAAATAAAAACTTATCAAATAAAACTATTTATGGGTTATTATACACGGATCTAAGGGCAATTTTTTAAAATACTCACAATTATACAGGGTGTCCCAATTTTGTACCACATCAAAAATATTCACTTGGATAGGTCCTTTTAAAGAAGAAGATTGATAAAACCTACTTATGAGTTTTTTAATAGTAAAACTGAAACATTTGGAATAGTTTGGCATTACGCCGGGGATGGAGGCACGTCCCTACTACCTCTACGGACATGCTACATGTAAGATATTCTGATTAGTCTATTTGAATTTCAGTGGTTCAGAAATGAGGTAGGCAAGGAACAACCAGAAGAATGCCAGATCTTGCTATCGTTAATTGCACCTTTGGCCCAAGCACATGGCATGCTAGTGAAAGATCTAGAACAACGATTGCAGGGATGGGATACCAGGGGCGGTCCAAGAGCAGCTGCCGGAAGAATTGCTGACGTGCTGCTGACACATTTACCCCCATTATTACCGGTAAGTGAAATAGTATTTTCACTTTTCTAAGGAAATCATAACAATATACAAATTTTTTTATATCTAGGTCACTTAGGCCCGATTTTATTAAGCCTTGGCCCAAAAAGCACGAGGATCACAAATTCAAAAATGGAAAGGCGTCTTTGAAGTAATGGATCTAATGAATATGGTCGATTTCTTGGAAAATATTCCTCAAACTAGAGAAAAATTATACGGTTTGCGTTAGAACAATAAATCGATCAAATTCATTAGATCCATTTCTTCAAAGACGGCCCAATTTGTGCCCAAAAACGAAACTTTTGATTTCCGCCGGGCGTTAGTGGCCTTGAAGTACGTGCAAGTAATATACGTACTCTTTAAGGCTTTTCAATACGAGGTTGTAGTCGAAATTCAGGGTCACGTTCCTGGTTTTCTCAACATTAAAATAGAAAGCTTTAGAAAATAAGGTATAGCGAGGAATATCACGATGTTTGTTCCTTCATGTCTTATACTAATATACAGGGTGTCCTTTTCAGAGCCAACTACGTTTGCATTAACAAAGCTAATTTGCGGCAAAACAACACCGAAAATGTAAAAAATAAATTGAAGAAAAATACTCGGTATTCATTTGGTAAGGAATTTCAAGTACTGCCTTTTCACATATTTTGTTTGTAAATACTGCTGGAAGTCTTCGCTGTTCGATTCAAAAACATGAGTGTGCTAAATTTGCACATTTGGAGCTGTCTAGGTCTTCAACTGTGTTCAACTAGACGGCTCTTGCACGAGATAAACAATCATATGCAGCTATGATGGAAAGAAACATCGAGGACGATGGCAACCTTCTAAGTACACTCTTGAAGATGCTCATATCAACTACGTTATGGCTCTAGGAATATGCCAATTTCGGTTTTTCATATGCGGTTTATTTATAAACTAGGTTAACCTTGACACCACGCGATGCTTGATTTGGGTACTGACATCTTTAGATAGTACATCAATATCGTACGCTTTGACGTAGAAGGGGATTGTTGTTTTAGAACCTAATAAAAACATGCTTATTATCTGTAATGTTTTCATGCTTTCAGATCTACGAAGAATATTTAGATGGTCACATGCTTGTCTTGGAACGTCTCGACACGGCATTTAAGCAAAATTCTCGTTTCGAACAACTGTACCGAGAATTCGAAACACAGAAAGTTTGCTATTTGCCGCTAACAACGTTTGTACTGAAGCCTCTCCATCGATTGTTGCAATATCAAGCGTTGCTCCAGAGATTGTTGAAACATTACGGACCAAATCATCCCGATAGAACGGACTGCTTGACAGCTAGTGATACTTTGAAGGTCAGTACTCCCACAAAAACAATTCCATAAATGTCACCTGCAAAAATTATATCCAAACCTTGATATTTTCAGGATTTGATGGTTCCTGTGTCGGAAACATTGGAGCAGTCAGAAAACTTGGCCACGCTGTGCGAGCTACAAAGAGACATTGTAGGGTTTGACAGCTTGGTACAACCTGGAAGGAAGTTCATCAGGCATGGATGCATGTTGAAGTATTCGAGGAAGGGGTATCAACAACGGATGTTCTTTTTGGTAATATATATACTTGGTAAAGGTTGTGATTTCCACATGACTTTGTCTACTGAATCTTAGTGGTAGAAAACATATGTATACCAAATTTAGAGAAAATTTGATTACTGTTAGCACACTTAGGTCTCTTTTATAAAAATAGGAATAAACATGCACAAGTGTGCAACCTCTAAATATCATCTAATCTTGTCGGAATCTGGTATATTATCTTCCATGTATTACAGATAGTATGGGGTGAGTAAAGTCATGTGAAAATCTCAACGACGGAAAAAATGAAGCACCCCACTTTTTTCAAATAAAACCAACAGTTTTGGTGAAATGTCCTAAAAGTTGCGGCACAAAGTTTCTGAAAAGAGGGCTGCGATTAAGCAAGCAAAAAGGTCTTGTCATCCTGATGACATTCGTAGAGCGACGAATCTCGAAGTGAGAAATACACGCCATGAATTCCACAATGAGCGGTGGAGCGACTTTCTGACGGGGATGCTTGAATCAAGTATTCCTCTCTGGAAAGTGACAAAATCGCTCAGAAACGGAAGGCAAGAACAACTACCACATATTCATGGTCCTGGAGGCATAGTTTTCAGGACTGAGAATAAAGTGACAGTTTTTGCTGACGTAATGGAAAATCAGTTCTCTCCCAATTATGATCTGGACAATGACCTTGACGAGGAACGACAAATTGTAAGATCTTTCTTACTTCTGCACACCAGCAGAGCTCCAGGCCACATTAAGGACCTAAAGGTGCGTAAAGCACCTGGAGAGGATCAAATCACCAACATAGTACTGAAGTTGTTTTCGCTCAGGGCTTTGACTTATCTGGTGGCAATAATCAATGCAATGCTCAGAACTCATTACTTTCTTAAAGCGTGGAAGATCGCTGAAGTCGTCATGATCCCAAAGAGGGCAGGTTCGATATTCCTCTAGGATTACCGTCCCATTGGTCTCCTCCATCTAAGCTCGCTGAAAAGGTGATTTATCGTCACGAGAATTTCTCGTCAGATAACCATGTGATTCCTGACGTGAAATTCAGCTTTCGATCTGAGTATAGTACGGAGCTACAGGTAGTTAGGCTGGTGGAGCATGTAACCAGGGGGTTCACCCTGAATAAAAGCAAGACGAACTGAAAAACAACGATGAAGAAGAGCTTCCAGTGACAACTAAGGAGGCATTAGACTGCATGAAATAGTTGCAACGTTATTTTCAGCAAGAATAAGACAATACAGCCACACTTACCAAATTAAATAAAATTCAACTTGCTGTTCTAAATAATTATACAAAAAAACAATCTGTTAAAATGAAAATTACTAGCTTTTTTATCAAATAATTTACGGTTTTTACACATAACTACTCAGTACGTATGCCTGTAATATGTGTATCAGATTCTGAACAAATGCAAATTTCAAAATTACGTATAACTTTTTTTATGTAATTTTATTTATGCAATACATGTTAAACAAACACATTTTATGCCTTTAATATGTTATTTCTGCTGCTTTTTTCATTTAAAAAAGTGCCACAGTCCAGCCGAGTCCATTATAAGCGGGTTGCACTGTATTTTGTATTCATCCATTTTTTTCAGTTTTCCGATATACTTCTGTATACATCTCGATCCCAAGCCAACCTACAGTTCAAAGTTCACGGTCATATGCCTCTGCGAGGTGTGCTGATAGAAGAACCAGATGGAGAAATCCAGTTCAACGGTCTGATAATTTATGGAGGAAACAGAGCGCTTACTGTGGCAGTTAGTAGTCCAGAAGAAAAAGACAGGTGGAAGGCTGATTTGCAGACTGCTATTCAAATGGCTAGGGACAAAGGAGATACGAAAATCACTTATTTGAGTCTAAAAAGTTGTAGTAAGTTTGAAAAGTCTTTAATACATTTAGGATTACTACTATTTTTCCGATGTTTCTAATTTGTATGAAGCCCGGTACTTTTCTTTGTTCGTATACGGCGCACTTCAATAGTCCAGGCAATATCTTTGCGCATCTGATAGAAAAAATTCCGATTTTTTGCATAATATTATTCAAAAAGGGTACCTTTTAACGAATCTGCATGTTACCAAATTTGCGGTAACATTTTTGTAAATAAATTCCAAAAGTTTTTTCTCTCCGTACAAAGAACTTTTATGTTTTCTGGGACTTTAAATGGAAATCATGCTCTTGGTATCATTAAAATGATTAGAAATTATTTTTAATTAAAAATCATGACTAGGGGTTTAATGCAATTTTTAATGTCTGTTTAACGTACTGAATATTTGATAGATTGGCGTATATTTATTTTTATTCACTATTATTCTCATACATTTATTTTGTAAAATCTGTTACCCTTGAAAAACGGAAACATTAGCCAGATATTAAACGTTTGCTCTATACAAAAAAATGGCAGTACATAAATGATTTTTCTTGCTATATAGAAACTCTCAGAAATACGTGATGGATAGTCTACTAATTTTACTGTTATTTTTTTCATAATGTAGTTCAGAATTCAACATACTGTCAGACATTTATTATGCCAAGGGAAATTTGAAAGAATCTACAAAATAAATGTGTTGCCACTAAAATTTACGTATAAATTTGTAGTATCATTTTTTCCAAAAATCATAGGTTTTGTTTTGTGTGTGTTCATTGATACGATTTTTCATACCATTTTGTTATTTAGGTTCTTCCGATGAAAATGTGGACCAAGTTGGGAACAATAACGTCGGGACACAAACAAAAACTCAGGCACAAAGAAGCAATACTACAGTTCATGTGTGTTGGCACAGGAGTACTAGTATCAGTATGAAGGATACACTTCTGGCAGTAGAGGTAAGAATAAAGAGAAACTGTTTCAAACTATTTGATATAATTGATATCCCGATCTTTATTTTTTATCGTGGGTAGACGATTTAGGGGTATTTTATAAAACTATTTTTTTTTCTAGAACCAGTTATCCGGGTATCTGCTTCGAAAATTCAAGAGTACCAACGGTTGGCAGAAATTGTGGGTCGTTTTCACATCTTTCTGCCTCTTCTTCTACAAAGGATGCTTGGACGAATTTCCATTAGCCTCTTTGCCCCTATTGGGCTATTCTGTAGGACCACCCGCGCGTGAAGATCAAATCGGAAAAGATTTCGTCTTCAAGTTGCAGTACAAGAACCACGTGTACTTCTTCAGGGTTGAATCTGAATATACTTACAACAGGTAATACTACTTTAAGAATAATCTAACTTTATTTCAAGAAAGTTGTCCTTTGGATTTCAAGCGTGTTTCGTATTTAATGAATATATTTCACAATGTTTATTATAATGGATTTGGATCTGTAAAGTAATTGGCTTCCTCTGGTGTTCCCCAGGGTTCTAATCAAGGCACTTTGTTATTATATGCTGATGATTTGTAAATATTTTTAGCAGTTAACAACCTCTATGAATGCATATTACTGCAGCAAAATCTTGATATGCTAAGTGGTGCGTTGTTTCCAAATGTCACGTGATATCATTCAGAAATAACAATCCAACCAGTTTTGAATACAAAAAATAACCATTGTGACGAAAGTATCTTAGATTATTTTAAATGAACTTTTTTGTGTTCTCATACTTGCACTATTTACTCAAGTAATTTAAGATTTACGAGTACGGTACTTTGCCAGTGAATATTAACATTTTCAAGTCCTACGTTATATTTTTTGTGCCGACGTTTCTTGTTTTATTTTACAGATGGATGGAAGTGATAAGCAGTGCAACACAAATACCTAGAAGAAAACCTACGTACTTGATTGAAAACACGATTGAAATTTTACCAGAAAAGTAACGAAAATACATTTTTGGGACTGCATTTATTTTAGTTATATATCTTATATGATTCTGTGATTTAAAGAAGACATCAATCCAAAAAGTGAATTGCCATATCACGTAAAACATTTTATCGATTTTTAAATAAGATATATACATTATCTTTTAGCGGGGATTTGGGTTAAAGCTTATACTTCAGGTTATGATTGTTTTCAAATCACATGTAGAATAAAATTGAATAATTTTTTGAGCACAAGTACTTTAAAAGTATTAATGATCGAATTTAAGTCTGTTATATTCATTCCGGCTTTAAATATGTGCCTTTCTTCCAATATTAACTATTTTTGTATATAATGTACATTTACAAAATATTTTATATTTATATACAAATAAGTAAGTTTTATCATAGTATTAGTGAATAGAGAGTTTTGTGATTAATTTACATTATGAACTTTAAACAATTCTTTATTCTAGATACACTTATATTTATTGACGTGGATTTGTTACTAAAGCATTTACACTAAAAAACGTTTAAGTCCTTGGTAGTAATTTTATGCTTCAGTACTACCAAAACTTTTCTATTAATTTTATTGTTTTGGGAAAAGACGTACTATTTGTAATTTGTTATAATTTTGAAATAAAGTTATACATCAAGCTATGTGTGTCTTTTTACCTTGCGCCGATAAAATCCCCAGAAAATATTCAGGTGACTTTTTTTCTACACGCCACTGGGCGAGGAAATATTGTAACCGCGAAAATGAGATATTTTTTGTACGTATGGTATATGACATGTACATCATGGAATCTGTCTTGTCTATTTAATTTTTTAAAATCGGTCCAGTGGCTCCGGAGAAAAAGGCCAAAAATGAAAATAATAAAAACAGCTCAAACGTTATTTGACGTATCTGATGATCCTGATATTTTTTGAAAAATTGTTTAGGAATTGATAATTAGGGGGTGGGGTGGGGTGTTGCACTTTTTTTGTTAGTATATTTGTATGTTCCTAACTCGGGTAATTCTACGCACCTACGACGTATGTAAATTAAGCGATGAAACTGGCAACGTAGCGTTCGATCTGACAACACTGGAGATGCCTGGCTTGACGGAGGGATAGGGGAACATGTGATCCGCCTTCAGTACCAGTTCGATCTCGCTCGAGTCATTTGGTTGTCCGTAGAGATTGTTCCAAAAATGAATGACATCAATTTTGAGCAACGGTATGCTATCAGGTTTTGCTTCAGAGTTTGGCACAGAGTAGCGGAAACTCTTATTATATTTCAGGCCTTTGGAGATGTGTTTTGCCCAGGTTTTTCGGTGGTTTAAGGCATTTTAAGAAGGAAGAGAGTCGATTGAAGATGAACCACGAAGCGGAAGGCCGGGAACTTGTGCGTTCAGATCGTCGGTTGACATTCAGAATGATCGGGGAAGAGTTACATTTGACTCAAATCACCGTTCGTCAGATCAAGAACAACTGGGCCTTGCATCACTATGATGCTCCTTGTCACACAGAAATGTCAATTAACGTGTTTTTGGCCAGTAAAAACATTCCTGCATGCTCCTCAGCCTCCTTATTCGCCTGACTTGAGCCTTTGTGACTTTTTTCTCCTTTAGCGATTATTGAAAAACTTGTATTGATACTAATCGTCGTAATTCTGCAGCTAAGTTATCTACAAAATGAAACCAAATTTGTTACCCTCTTTGGTTATTTTAAGTACAAATGTTGCTTAAACATGACTCTTGCGCAAGCGGTCCCGAAGTTGAAAAATCACCTCATGGGTACAGTCGAAAACATTCAAATGGCTGTAACCGACGAGCTGAAGGCTATTCCAGAATCGGAATTCCAGCACTACTATGAGGAGTGGAAGAACCATCTTTAGCGCTATGAGGTTTCAGAAGGAAGTTATTTGGAAGGTTACAATATAAAATTGCAATTATATTTGAATAAAAAAATTAAAAAACCAGTCTCATTTGCTTAAAGCTTGGAATGATAGAGAAATGTTTTCGAAACGCGTCTTCTGCTATTTGGGCTCAGCGTCCGGCGTACCGATCTGCTTGATTGTTCTGCTCGTAGTGCGGCCTGGCTTCCGTGGGCGCTGCCGCGTCTGACGATGTGGGATAGGGCAACGGGACGGTATCTACCGGTAAGGCTGGGAAATAATATATTTTCTCAGAGGTTTAACTTGTGGTGAACTCTATCCTTTATCAACTGATGACGGCGTTGAGTAGAAAGTGCAGAGTCAACCTACTTGACGTCTTTTTTCAGTGCTTACTATATATACAATGTGTTTGGTCACGACATACCAATATTTAAGGGGGGTATTTTTCAGCTATTTTTATCGACAAACCACCCCCCTACAATGTCCTTCTTCGCCTCTCTTGAAATGGCATCCATTTTTATTTATACGTTACGATTACGCGATAGAGCATGTATGAAAATTGTATTAACTGAGTACATAAGTGTCACAGAACGATAAATTTGGTGTCATTTGAACGATAGCATTTAGCGATTATTGAAAAACTTGTATTGATACTAATCGTCGTAATTCTGCAGCTAAGTTATCTACAAAATGAAACCAAATTTGTTACCCTCTTTGGTTATTTTAAGTACAAATGTTGCTTAAACATGACCCTTGCGCAAGCGGTCCCGAAGTTGAAAAATCACCTCATGGGTACAGTCGAAAACATTCAAATGGCTGTAACCGACGAGCTGAAGGCTATTCCAGAATCGGAATTCCAGCACTACTATGAGGAGTGGAAGAACCATCTTTAGCGCTATGAGGTTTCAGAAGGAAGTTATTTGGAAGGTTACAATATAAAATTGCAATTATATTTGAATAAAAAAATTGAAAAACCAGTCTCATCACTTAATTTACAGACTCCGCATTCTTATTTCACACATCATAGGTGTCCCAATTAATTTGCTTAAAGCTTGGAATGATAGAGAAATGTTTTCGAAACGCGTCTTCTGCTATTTGGGCTCAGCGTCCGGCGTACCGATCTGCTTGATTGTTCTGCTCGTAGTGCGGCCTGGCTTCCGTGGGCGCTGCCGCGTCTGACGATGTGGGATAGGGCAACGGGACGGTAACTACCGGTAAGGCTGGGAAATAATATATTTTCTCAGAGGTTTAACTTGTGCTGAACTCTATCCTTTATCAACTGATGACGGCGTTGAGTAGAAAGTGCAGAGTCAACCTACTTGACGTCTTTTTTTCAGTGCTTACTATATATACAATGTGTTTGGTCACGACATACCAATATTTAAGGGGGGTATTTTTCAGTTATTTTTATCGACAAACCACCCCCCTACAATGTCCTTCTTCACCTCTCTTGAAATGGCATCCATTTTTATTTATACGTTACGATTACGCTAGAGCATGTATGAAAATTGTAATCACTGAGTACATAAGTGTCACAGAACGATAAATTTGGTGTCATTTGAACGATAGCATTTAGCGATTATTGAAAAACTTGTATTGATACTAATCGTCGTAATTCTGCAGCTAAGTTATCTACAAAATGAAACCAAATTTGTTACCCTCTTTGGTTATTTTAAGTACAAATGTTGCTTAAACATGACCCTTGCGCAAGCGGTCTCGATCAAGGTAGCGAACCACACCCCACATTCCTGAGATAGACCGAAATGTCTCTTTATCGAGATGGTAACAACCAGTTATTTGTTGTCAATGTCATAGTGAGTGTTTTGTAGTCCCTCGCCACCCGTTGTCTTCACACGTTCATTTTGTTACCATTGCTGACTAGTTTCATTATCAATTTTCTGAAAGTATTTGAGTTGGAAGTTTCAAACATGCCAAATCGTCCACGTAATGAATTTTCAAATCATCATGCCGCTGATATGGCGTTTGTTTACGGCTTTTACAAGTGCCGCAGGTGCTATGAGAGAATATAGAAGACGATTTTTTGATCGAATTACGCCAAATGTTCGGACTTTTGTTTTTACATAACTGAGACTGGCGGAAAATGGGATTCAAAGACCAGTAAACAACCGTTATCGGCTACTGTCTCCACAAGATGAAGAGATTCCCGATATCCGAAAGTTAGTGTGAGGAGGAACGTTGCAGGAATACACTTGTCACATTGGTTGGTTTGGAGAGTCCTTAAGAGAGAAGAAGGTTTACATCCTTACCATTTTCGAAGAGTTCAGGATCTTGATCGGCCAGATTATGCAGCAAAAATCTTATTTTGCTCCTGGTTCCAACGGCTGCAACAGGACTGCAACTTTTGGGAAAACATTCTATGGACGGACGAAGCAAAATTTACGAGGCAGGGGATCATAAACCATAGAAACGACCACTTGTGGTCTTCGGAAACCGCTCATGCAGTTCGATTGAGCACTTTCCAACAGGAATTCAATGTAAACATGTGGGCCGGAATGATCGACGGAGTTTTAGTCGGCCCAGCTGAGCTACCTCTAAGGTTAGATGGTCAGGGATTTTTGAACTTCTTGAGTACCGAGTTTGCAGATCTACTTCATGATCTGCCACTTATCAACCGCCGCAACATGTGGTTACAGCTCCCACACACTTTGCGCGAATTGTACGAGAACATTTGGATAGGCGACATTCTCCATGGATAGGACGTGGAGGCACCCCGATGACCCGATTTAACGCACCTAGATTATTTTTTCTGGGGCACAATGAAGCAAAAAGTCAACTGTCATGTGTTGATGAGACGGGAAGAGCTCGTGGAAAGGATCCATACCACTGGGAACGAAATTAGAGCTGACATGGATATGGCCTGGTGCTCAACACGATACACTGTTTTAAGAACATATCTAAACTATTTATAAGCAACTTTGATTTGTCATTTTTATGTATACTTTGACCCATGTTAGATAGCATTTATTACTTAACCGAGAAGACTTAGGATAACAAGTCTGGTGTCATTTTGTAGATAACTTAGTTAGCTGTGGAATCAGCACAAAAAAGTACAACTTCACAAACTAGTTTTTGAATGGAATGCGGAAATGCGCAAAATAATCATTTTTTTTGCATATTTTTTTCCGGTTTTGTCTGCTTTTAGGTATGTTTGACGAGTATCAATACAAGTTTTTCAATAATCGCCAGAACAACATGCTATCGTTCAAATGACACCAAATTTATCGTTCTGTGACACTTATGTACTCAGATATTACAATGTTCATACATGCACTAGCGTAATCGTAACGTATAAATAAAAATGGATGCCGTTTCAAGAGGGGTGAGGAAGGACATTGTAGGGGGGTGGACTTGTCGATAAAAATAGCTGAAAAATACCCCACTTAAATATCGGTATGTCGTGACCAAACACATTGTATACAATCGAAATGCAAACTACAGTGTGTTAATGAAGGACCTGGCTAAACTTCACAATTCTAAGAAAAAATGGCGTCAAGAAGGGTGACTCTGTACTTTCCTCGCAATTTTGTCTTCAATTGGATTATCCGCTCGGTTTTTTCCAGATCTAACGCCATATAAGCTATAATTGGTGTACGTGACTTACAGAGTCAACGTACTTGAGACAAAACTTATTCAAAAGTTTGCTATGCTAAATTTGCTTATGGTACAAGAAAAGCAAACGTAATGTGTCAAATATTCCTAACCGCGCTACTGGAACATCTGCCAACCAATAGTAAAATATACGCTTCACCCCTTTGGCCTGTCTTTGTATATTTGTCGTTAAAGCAAATCAATTTACTGATATCTTCGGGTGGTGGGGTGGTTACGAATCTCGGAAATAGCCGGCAATTGGCGCGATTGGAACTCATAATCGTTTTTATTTGTCGCCTTTCACTTATCCAATTATGCCACATTTATAACCCACAATTTTCAACCCCTACAGAACCATCTGAAACGTTAAAAGACGAAGATGGAGCGATTTTTATTTTTTCGTTTTTTCCCTTTGCTCCACCGCCACTGGAACCATATTCAAAAACAACAAAGTTTTCCATCCTTGGGGTGGTAGTAACCATTTTTCGGGTCGAGGATCGGCGGACAGACAGGCCAGGGGCGGACAACAGGATTTTTTTGAAAAAGTAGTGAGCGTCTAGTTGGGCGGACCCCCTCTAACTCCGCCCTTGGGACAGAAATGAGTGACATGGTTTTTTTGCTATTTCCATGCCATAAAACATCCACAAAAGTAGCTCATCTTCGAAATTGTTCGTAATACAAGACTTCTGCGCCAAATCACGTGGGAAGCAACAAATTAAATAATACAAACATGTCTTTATTATCAAACTGCAGGGTGTAGAATTTTTTTTTTAAATTCGCTTTGGAATAACTTTTTGTTAAATATGGATGGAACCAAGGGATGTACAGGCGTTTCGCCAAAAATTTTACCAAAAGCCTTTAAGGAAAAGTGATTCATAAAAGCCACAAATAGCCTTGAACGCCTAGATTGTTGTATTCAAATTTGTTGAATTATTCCCTTTGCGATTTTGGTTTTATTGTGAGTTTAACGTATACGGTTTTATATAAATTCCAAGGGCCGGCTTCAGGCGGTAGCCTCGTCATGTGGGGCGTAACCATCGACTTTAAAACTTTAAAGTCGATGGGCGTAACATTTTCAATTAATGTAAGGTTAGGATGCATATTTTAGCCTTTCATTCGTAGCTTCAATATATTTTAAAATAATCAGCTAAGGAGATATATCGCGATTTTAACGATTTGAAACTTAACCAGATAATACTTAACGCTTTGTATAATGAACAGAAATCAAAATAATTGAACTAATTTATTCCAATAAATAATATACAACATACATAATAGGACAGTTTATGAAAATAGTTTCATTCTTATACATTGTGTCATCAAACAATTTCGAATTATTGCCGACGGTCTTGCATTGATCTCTATCAGAATATTTAACAAAATATTGTGGAATTCTATATAAATAGATGGTATGACGAAGCGTAAACATCGCTTGATCCTGTCTCCTAGGTTTTGTATGAAAATACTAGTGGACCAACTGTATCGCAATCGTGCCTGCAGTTATCACGTAAAACAATAAGTTTGTTTTTTCGCTATTTCAATTAAGAATGTAATTACTATGCAATAAGGCTGTTTGGCACATCACATCTATGAGGATTTGTTGCCCTTCTTAAAATACCCTAACTTTAGGGCACGTTAAGGCGTGAGACCAGATTTAGGGGACTCTCTTCTCTACTACTCAACATTCCAGAGGAGTCCCAAAACCAGAGTTGCAGAAAAAACATTTATTCTTTATTTACGAAATTGAATGAGTCTTGCAAAATCCTAGCTATGCATTAGTTATGAAGTTGACCTAATGCCACCCACTGCTCTTGTCTAGGACTCGCACTTTCTGATCCAGAACGATCATCACTATTTTCAATACTGGTGTTATTTTCATAATCGCTCTTCTGCAACGCTTCTGTTTGATAGACGACAGCTGGTGATCTTTCACTGCTGCCAATCTGCGTGTAAGTCACATCCGAGTTGACCACCGAGAGATATTCGGGGGCTTGGTATGTCACGTCCCCATAGTAGCCTGGATAGCTTAGGTTGGTGATGCTGGCGATTGGGGAATGCTGGTATATCTGGAACCAAACCAATAAATTTAGTTATTACGATTGAGAACTACATTTAGAATAAGGTGTAGAAAATGAAGATAGCTATCTCCGTTTAATTTATCAGGCAACTTAAATGGGCCAGCTAAAAAGATACCAATAATCCCCATCGAAACGTTAATTTTAAATTCCCTTTGAAAATGTGGTGCTAAAACTGCATGTGGATTTTCTTTAGCCTAAACATGTGTATTTCCCAAATTTATCATACCACGTCGGGTGAAACATCTATAAAAAAAATTAGACCTGCGTTGTTAAGGAAACTTTTAAAGTAATCAAATAGCTGTCAATTTAATTTTGTGATTTGATCTAAACATTGTGAACTTATTGGTTGTTTAGAACTTATTTTTAATACTATAAAGTAAAAAATACCTGATTCCGAGTTTTCTTTTACTCCACCGGAATTAGTAGAAGTAGCCAAAGTAGCGTCACAAAAATTATTGCCAGCTTATCGCGGAAAATTTGCGAAACCGCGTATTCAAGATTCTTGGAATGGAAGATGAAAAAAACATGCAGTTCTTTGTCGGAGACGGTGTTATTGGCTTATTTTTCGGAATTGGCACAACAACAAAAGCCATCAACGGTGTGGTCGAATTATTCAATGATATGTATGTTACGATCCAATAATAATGTAGACATTTCAAAATATTTCAAACTAATTACATTACTGAAACAAAGTGGGAAAGGTTACAAGCCCAAGAAACCTGCGATTTTTACGAGTATACAAATTAGTGATTTTTAAATAATCCTCCCGATGAAGTTTATTTAATGGCCAAGATTGTTGTTGTATATAGGATTGCAGAAGCTTGTCGAATTTTTGAAATCAGCCAGGTAACATTAGATGATATTGAAGATTCGGGAACGTTATTAATTGTGAAACTTAACGAAACAAAGAATGATGTAAAGAGATTTGTAGTTACTGAAAAATATATTAAATTTTACCGAATGTACATAGCAGCAGCAGCAAAGGATCGCCGCCTGTTTTATGCATATCACAATGGAAAATGTATCAATCAGGTTATGGGTAAAACCAGTTTTATAAAATACCCGGAACAGTGGCTAATTTCTTTCAACTTGAAAATTCTAACTCATATAGGGGTCATTCATTTCGAAGATCGTCTGCTACACTTTCAGTTGAATCTGGGGGAGACTTGATGACACTAAAGAAACATGCCGGTGGCAAGTGATCAACGGTAGCACACAGGACAGAAATAGCTGAAGTGTTTAGAATGTGTGGTAGTGCTGAAATAACACTGGATTTGCGACCAAGTACATCAACGGGAGTTGTGACGGCAGAAAATCATATAATTTTATCACAAGAAAATTCGACTGTTGTACAGAATAGTTTAAGGAACGTGTCATTCATGCAATGGACATTTAATAATTGTACTTTTGATATAAAGGAAATGTAACTTAATTGTATAATAAAATATTCTAAAATTAAATATCTACTTTGCTTATATGTTTATACAATATCCGGAAAAAAGTACTCATTTCTGTCCGGGGAAAAAAGTAATTTTACAAAAAGTGACATTTTGTTACCTGTCAACAGAGATAAAATGTCAAACTTTTTTCCGGTCACAGAAAAAACGTTTTTTCTTGAAAGCCATGCGAGGTGTCCTGTTGTTAGAGACAAAAAATGAAGTAAATAAGGATCATTTATTTAAAAAAAACAGACTCGTTTGGAGAACTGCGGAAAAATTCTGATATAATTAAAGTAGGGATGGTGGTAGTTTTCGCCCTTCTCCAACCCTTTCGGGTTCTTATAAAAGTCAAATATTAGGTTGTCTAGCAAAACACATGCGTTCAAAATTTCTCTCAAATCGGACTAACGGTTTCAAAAATATCTGAAAAGAAATGTGTTTTAAAAAGAAAACGCTCTCTAACGGACTTATTTTGAGTGGCAGATTTATGTCCACCCCGTATGTGTGTCAATTACCTGGTGTGTTGGTGACTGCCCCGTAGGCGGTGCAGGCACAGGTGGCACCGCTTGGTGATGAGCCGTGGGCTGAGAATTTGGTGGCGAGCTGGTGGTCAACGTCCAGCAGTTGACCAAGGTGGTGGGGGTTTGAGATGGCACGGATCCGTTCCAGCCAGAGTAGGCTGTGCTGCTGTACAACGTTGCTGTTGGTTGTTGCTGTCCGGAACTGGCTTGGTGGTGCAGGATGTGCTCGGGAGGAGTGTACACTGTAAATATTGAGAACAAATGTCGCTAATTAAAATTGGAAATCAGTAAAAATAAATATACTTTTCTTCAGTTTCCGACAACGCCAGCCCCAAGAGAATTATTGTAAAACGTCGATTCATTTTTAATACGAAACCATTTTCGTGTTAAACTGTCCGATACTTTTGGCAAACATAAATAGATTTCCCAATATCAATATGAAAAACCAACTCATTGTGGGAAATTGCTGCGAGCACCAGAAACTTAATTTAAGATGGTGTATGCCGCTTTAATGTCAATGAAACTGAGACATACTTTTAAAAAGGTGCAATGAACGAAGATCTTGAGGGTACAAAAGTTTATTTTTTTTTTCATCTTAAGCTTTCGGAAATGGTTATTTTTTCATCAGGATGTTCTACAATGAATTGAAGAATGACAATTTAAATCCATTACAAAATCATTGAAAAGACTACCTACAATGATTAAAGTCTCTCACGTGATACAAAAAAAAATGGCGGCAAGTATGTTGACTCTGTACTTCCACGCAAGGCTGTCATCGGTTTGTAAAGGATTATGTTGTTAGCCCTTTTGAGAAAAAGTTAGCTACAAACATGTATAAAAATTAAATGGCCTTCCTCCCCCACAGGGCACGCAAGTCACAGCAGTGCGGAAGCGATTGCCGACTGTATGATGTGCGACCTCAGACGATAACGCTTGTCCACCGGGCGCGACTGTTCGAGATATTTCCAAGTTTTAAGGGTAAATGTACGGAAACATCTATGACGAGTGAAGTATGCCTAATATGTGCGTAGAATTATTGGGGTTGGAGGCATGTAAACAAACTAACGTAAAAAATTGAGATATACCCTCCCCCACCGCTGCAACCGCGAACCCTCAATTTTTAACACCTACTAAAATTTCTCCGAAAAGGAGGATCATCTGAAGCTCAAAAACTAAGTGTTAGCGATTTTTATTTTTTTTGTTTTTGGCTTTTTTCTCCGCCACCACTGAACCGATTTTCAAAAACTAAAAAGCTTTTGCGTCCTTGGCATGGTAGTAACATTGTTTGAAAATTACATCGAAATCTAGGTGGTAGACGGTATCTGACTGTCGAACGCGGAGGTACCACCCGGCGGATCTCGTAGGCGGAGCCAGAATGTGTCCATGTTGCATGCACACGTGTTCCCTCGCCAGAGTACGTGTGGTGTTCCCCCTTTCCCATGTATCCCCCTATAGCCGCACGGTACCCAATGGGTGCTTAGGCCTTAGGCCTTCGTGGTAGTTGGAGTATAAAAAAAAGAAATACGAGCGGAACTTCTCAAGATATAGACGGTTATAAGATTAGTGGACAGACCGACAGACAGACAGAAATAAATAAGTAACATGGTTTTTAGTGATGTACATGTCATTCAATATCCAAAAAACATAATATCTCATTTTCGAACATTTTCGCGATTAAAATAATTCAATACTAAGAATATAAGTTTTTTTGGCCTGAATAGCCTACCCCCCTCCACCCTTTAAACATGTGAATGCAACGATAAACAACCAACCTTACACATAAATGATATGCGCATTCAGCCCTTTTCACAAATCTGCTACGCATTTCCCGCTAATATCATTAATTCCAGAAGTTACAAGATACTCAAATTTTTTATATGTGTTTCCAGACTCATAGGGAAAATCGAAAAACAAGAATAACGTATCTTTTTCAACTTTAGAATTTGCTCGATCAGTCTAGACTACGCTGTCGTCATTTTTCACAAATGTCGGTCATACGAGCATTTTGCCCTAATATCCTCCAGTCTGGAAGATAAAAGGGGGTATTTGAGAAAGTTTATCTTCAAAATTTTCTCCCAGAATCATACTGACAATCGAGAATCAAGCATAATGTATCTGTAATTAACGACTTTGGCAAACCAGTTTTATTAAGCACATTCACAATTTTTGAAAATAGCGGACGAGAAGATATTTTGGGCTAACTTTCTCCAGTGCGGAAGTTTCAAGAAGCAAATTCGAAAGGTAGATTCTTAATATTCCCTCCGATGATCACAAGAAAATCGAGAAACAAGATTAACGCAGGATTTTATTTTATCAGTTTAGTACACCCATTCACCACTTTTCACAAATGTAGACCACAGTCCGCTACCTACGCATCGTTCCAGAAAATATAAGAAATTCCTTTCAAATGCAGATTTTTGATATTACCTCCCAGAATCAGGGAAAATCGAGCAACGTACAACGTGGTATCAAAAAACCGGTGGATGCGTATCCACAAACACTTGTGCTAAAAATGGTGGAAGAGCATGCATATGCATTTTTCACGTTTTGTAATAAATATAATAAAAGCATTCAATAATTCTTGGAATGTGTACTATAATACTTTGATAATGTTGACAAACATATACACAGGTCCACAAAATAGAAAAGGTGATGTTTGCCAGCGTTGGGAGTTGATAGACAAATTATAGAGACAACTGATAAAGACGATAAAGGTCATAATCTAGTGTTATTTATATGATAATAACCTTACATACTTCAACGTTTCTGCTTGGCTTCTCTTTGTAACATTCATCTCTCTTTCGCGATTGCTTCACTATCAAACATAAATGATGAATGAATGTGCTTTAGGCATCAGAGCTGTATCTCTACCAAAAATACAAAAATATGATAATCTTGATGTCAAAGTTTCTTTCAGAAAGAAGGAAGAAGGAAGTTATTTTGAGAGTGACAATATAAAATCGTAATTATATTTGAATAAAGTTATTAAAAAATCAGTCTCATCACTTAATCCATCCATCAAAAATACAAAGATATATAAACCTGATGTCAAAGTTTATTTCATACTTGTCCATTGACACCCAAATGTAGCTTGAGATTTGTCTTCAGCGGGAAAAAATACATGGAAAGGATAGAGTGGGACCTCAACACACCCCAGGTTTCAGGATAAAATTATTCACTTGATACGAACGCAAAGTTGTCAGCTTAAAAGTAGTAACAGTTGTTATACTTACTGTGAGGTGGAGGAGGAGATACAGATGATGATTTCTGCCTTTGAGTATTGTAAGGTGCAGGTTTATGTCTTTTTAAAGTGGGACTAGATCTGAACTGACATGGCGACATTTGAGGTGGCGAAGCATACACTGGCTGATGAGGTAAGAACCAGGGACTATCTGGAATAGAGTTCATAACTTATAGACAAGGGCAAAATTGTACCATTACCATATTGAAAAAATTGCAAAAATACACACGATTGAAATAAACATGTTTGGGTATGGTCGTTTGAAAAACTCAGGATACTGTACGGAGATAGCCGAAAAATCTGACGGTCTCCATCTACCAATGGTTTGCCAAAGTTGACCTTACAGAGACAGAAAGCAAACATGTCCATTACAATCATGTCTATTTATGCATATACCCAAACGGCTCGATAGCTTTTTGGGAATACATTTTAGGGGGAAATGTTTCAGTCAAAAGTTGTAGGATTTTCTTTCAAGTATCGGTGGATGACCTTGGATTCGATCTTGAAGGTTATTTAAAGGTCACATTTAAACATTCAAATGTAAACTCCTACTTTCAACTCCCGTAATGAAAGGAGCGGAAAATTTTACGGTCAAACATGGCTATGGATGACCTTCATATTCATCTTTAGTGATTCCTCAAGGTCAAACTACCACTAATGCTGGATATCGATAATTCTTCGGGAATCCATTCTGGGGGAAATACTTCATATAAAAGTTGTATCATTTTCCCTCAGCTATCAGAAAGTGATCTGGACGTTGACCATGAAGATCGTTTGAAGGTCAACTTCAAAATTTTGAATGCAACCCCCTATTTTTGACCCTGGCAATAAAACGAGCGAAACAATTACGTCATATGGCCTTGAATGATGATAGTCCAGGCCACGTAGTGATTGTTTTGGGTCAAGGTCAAACTATCACTATATCGGAGGGGTTCTTAACCTTGCCTTAGTTGGCTGGGTCTATCATGTCACCCGAGAGCTCATTCAAGGTCAGATATGAGACCCATTCAAAATCATATCTGAACGTAAAATTTTTCGTTTGTTTCATTGCTGGGTTCAAAAACAGGGGCTTAGATTTAAAATTTTGAGGTTGTCCTTCAAATGATCTTCAAGATCAAAATTAAGAACGAGTCCAAGGGCATCTTCTAATAGCTGAAGAAACGTCCTACAACTGTTATTTGAAGCATTTTTCCCTAAATGCATTGCCGACGAGTTATCGATATCCAGCATAAGCGCTAGTTTGACCTTGAGGAATTGCTCAAGGACAGTAGGGATTAACATTTGAAATTTGAAAGCTGACCTTCAAATAGCCTTCAAGGTCAAATTCAAGGTCACCGGCTGATAGTTGAGGAAAAGCGTTTCCCCCTAAATTGTATTTCCAAAGAGTCATCGAGCCGTTCCGGTATTTTTACCGCACCCCGTATATAAAGCCATCGTTTGTCTGCTGTGTGAATATTTTGTATTCTGGCTACTAGAAGAGCCTACCGTTTTGGTGGTACGACATCCGTCATCCTTCTTCGTTCTGGATGATCCTGAGGATTAACTTGACAAACCGTTGGTAGGTGGAGATTGTTAGTTTTTTCCTACCTTAGCACAGCATTTTCGTTGTCGTACCATCCTATATAGGATTCCTCTCTTTTCAGGGGCCCAGATTTATCTGATTCAATTGGGATTAGATTGCAATTTCAACAGAATCGATAAAAATCAAGATATACTCAATTACATTAGACATAAAGGAACATACTCACATTGTGTATATTGCGATTGTTGTTGGCTATAGCTAGTTGGAAATTCCCTTTGATGGCAATACGGGTTATCCGGTCTTTCTTTGGCATCTAAAAAGGCTTTCGCGAAGGGATTGTATTTAATTTTCAAAGAGGTTACTTCTTCGTTTTGGTAGGCGGTCACTGCGATGAATTGTGTCTCTGGAAATGGGAATGTAACTACCTGAAGAAATAAAGAAAAAATGGGAATGTAACTAGTGGCGTACCTGCAGGTTATTCATCAACGTAAAAGGGCAATTACAAAAAAAGCTAAAGTATCCCGGCGCACTATTTGAAATAGCAAAATGGTACTTTTGGTCGAGAATACGCTAATTGCTTTAAGTTTTCGACGCAAAATTTCCATGATCCTAACATGTGGTAACAACCAAACGAAACTTGGCACAATGCAGTAGATTTTATTATTTTTTTCAAAATTCTTCATTTTCAGGGATCAAATACATCAAATATTTGTCATAGGAAAAATAACAATTAACGAATTACATTATATTTTTTTTTAAATGTAATTGTTACAATAAAACGTACAGGTATTTCCAATATGAATATTTATTAAAAAACTCGTTCAATAGTTTTTCAAACGAGTTGATAGAGATATTTTTTATATATTCAATTTATTGTATATTTTAATAGACTCCGCATGCGGTCCCATTAGTAATGTAGGATTGAACTGAATCCCTGGATGGATATTCTTCCAGATGATTTTTAATCTTCATGGCTCACACACACACACACACACACACACACACACAAATATATATATATATGGATATAACCGTGAGTATTTTATACGAAACGAAATATTGCCTACAACTGTCTCTTCTAAATCTGGCTATTTGTCTTACAATATTTTTTTTTGATACGAGGACAGAATTTATATTACAGGTATTTTCCCAGTAGATTGTCCCACTGCTAAGTCACGGATATACCTCGCCGTAATGCCAGGTAAGTATATTTTTATCTGAAAGGTAACTTTTCAGCTGTCTGGAAAGAAACGATGACGAATTCATTTTGCTACAGGCATATTTTGTGTGGGTTTTCCACATATGTTTCGGATCCAGTTCCAATTCTAAGAAATCTATACACTCTGTTCTAAAGTTTTTTTTTTAATTTTTATTTGCCCAGTTAACCACATCCAGTTTTTCCATCGTTACAGACTTGAATCTTAGTTGTTTTAAGTATAAAATTGGTTCGTACAAAACTGGAAGAATGCGTGGCCCATAGAAGGAAGGTAAATCCTAATAAGTAAAAACAAAGTAGGGGCTAGGAAGTGGGCACTCCAAAATATCTCGGAAATTAAGGGTTCTTGAAAAAACTTTATACGTACAGTAGTTTTATGAAATCAAATGGCACATCTATTGATGAACTTGGGTTTGACGTTGACATTCAACTTGAAGGTCATTGCAAGGGCAAGTTGTTTTTTTAAATTAGAACCCCTATTTATTGCAGAAAGCGACAGCCAAAAAAAATTCCTTTATCGTTGTATAAATTATAGGGGCTAAAATTACATCTAAAGGTTATTTAAAGGTCAATTGTTGCTATTTTTTTAATGTTGTGAAGCTAGAGTTAAAAGAATATTAGAGAACAACTTTTATTGAGAAAATTGCAAGAAACCCAAAGGCAAATCTGATGGTGACCTTCATGCTGACCTTTGCTAGGACCTTCAAGATTATTTCAAGGTCAACTTGATTTTTCTATACGGAAACCCTCAATTTTGATCCCAGCGCTGAGAATGGACAAACATCTCATGATCAAGGGCTTAATTAACAGAGGTAAAATCACACCTAGAGGTGTGTTCAAGTTCTATTTTCGTGGATTAGACAGCGAGCGATAATATTTGCAAGTGAAAAAAAGAGATCTTGGACTAATTCTTCAAGATATTCAGGTCATTTTTTTTTCTATAGCTTTTGTATTCAAAATTCTTTTCTTAGCTTCCGAGATATTTAGGTGTGTCCATATATTTATATCCGGTATATGTGCAATTTGACAAATATGAATTTCGATGATTTCGAAAATGACCCTAACTAGATTTAGACAAAAAATAGATTTTGGTCTAGATTGCAGAATACCTAGAATTTTAAAAATGTTTCTTTAATATCTTTAAGCTTTAAAATTTCTTGGTGCATAGTTTACATTTTTCTGAATCTGTGCCTGTATTTTTCGGGAGGGTGCCCTTTAAGAAATCAAAATCATTTTCACAGTTTTCACTGACAAAATGTGGCAGTCCCGCTCTTTAAAATTTTTTTGGTGCAGGTACACTTTCACAAAATGTTAGCCCCTTCCGATGATCGGCAACACTTGAGAAAAATTCCTGCGGACGTCCATGTATGAAATTAATTCCTGCCATTCGCAAAAAAACATCAACAGGCCTTGTCACATTATTTTTGTGATCTGTAGAAGAATTTCAGAAAGTAAAGGATTAAGCTTAGAATGCCCTCTAAATAGTTCTCCAGCTTTATTTTCCATATACCGAAAAATTGTTGATTCAAATGATTGTCAATATTTCTAACTCACCCTCCTGGGCTCCGCACCAACTCTAACCAAATGCACTCTAGGCTCGTACTTGTGCAGCGAGTTGAGCATGATCTGGCCCCCAGCCGCGCCGCCACTGCTCGCCTTGTTGGTCAACTTCACTTTGGCGAACGAAATGGATTCCTTCATCCAGTGCGCTCCAAAGTTGGGTGACTCCGGATGGACGTACACCGGATTAGATGGAGGTACTTCCGCTTTGCCCCCTGGTACCCATTCACCGTTCACGTATTTCCATCTGCCGGAAGAAAATAGTAACTAAAGGTTTATTTCGGTTTAAACAAGTTGCAGCTTAAACGGAGTCGCATCTGGAAGGCACATGTTTCGTAACATGTATCGTGAGTCCACAGAGTAACATGTCCACGACTTTGTGGAAGGAAAACTGGTATTTTTAACCTTATGATTTTCATCTACACTTTATCATAATTTTTTGAAAATTTTTGGTATGCCTTTATCGCTGAGCTTTACCAGCATTTTTATAATCATTTAATAATTTATACTTATGGTTTGATATACTTTACTAGTTTTATTTTTGATTTCTTAAATGTCTCTCTAAGAATTCTGCAAAACGTTTACGTGTTTTTTTAGTTTATTTTATGCATTGTTATAGTGCTGAATTATGTAGTGTTACCAATGTTTTTAATACTAGTTTATATCGATGTTTCTCTGATAAAACTAGATCATACTTGCACAAATAGCAGAGAAAACAGCAACACCATACACGTTATACTTTCGTGGTTTGCTTATTCATGTCAAGTTTGTGTACATTGTTTTCGACATATTATCATATTGTATTTTAGCAAATGAATTATTATTATTATTATTATTATACTAATGGATCAAAATTTACAAAGATATTATCATATTGTATTTTAGCAAATGAATTATTATTATTATTATTACATTAATCCATCAAAATTTACAAAGAATATGACATGACGGAGTCTAACTGAACCTGACATTACGGTGCCGCACTGGATAGTGACTGAACGGCTTACACTGGGCGCGAGAACTATTTTGACTATCGGGATTACTTACAATGCATTTTCGAAAACACTATGCTAGCAACAGATTAGCAAACAGTTGATCTCTTATACTGACTCTACGTCTGTGCAACATTGAATTATTAACTGCGTAGTTATTAAGAGCATACAACATATATACAGGGTGTTGCTTAATGATATGCGAATATTTAAGGGTGTTAATCTACATGAAAAATTAATGTTAGTTTGCTTTATAAACTATGGTCCAAAAATGTTTCCTTTCAAAACCTGAGGGTGTTGAAGTTTCAGGAAAAAAAAATGGAAATTAATTAATATTTTCAGAACCGATTCAGATATTTCACTGATATTCAGAACGTAGTGGAAGTTAATAAAGATGCACATTTTTCGATGCAAAAATAATTTTTAGCTTTAACAGTGTATTGACTTCGATATTTTTCAAAAAAAAAATGGTAGGCCAATGGTTTTTTGCCAAATAAAAAGTATTTTTCAATTTCCCGTTCAATTCAAAACAAATGATCTCTCTTGAATTGTTCTCCTTCGATGTGCAATTTTTGGGTAAAAAAATAAAAACCATTCTATTGTCTAACCCGCAGAATTATTATAAATTTAATTGGAAAAATTAAACACATCAGGGGTAATGAACAACAACAACTGTCAACATAAACATGACATTAAAACCAACGAAATGATTACAAAAATTGTTGAAAATGGCCCCCTTCACTTAGTATGCATGCTTCCGTCCTCCTTCTCATAGAATTGCGCACTCGTTGAAATATCCCTGGAGTGTTTTTTATTCTATCACAAGCTGCAACTATTCTTTCTCTTAATCCTTCTACAGTGTTACTGGGACTTGTGTAAACTAGTGTCTTAAGATAGCCCCACAAAAAGAAGTCTAAACTGTTGAGGTCTGGGGACCTTGGTGGCCATTCCTGGGGCCCACCGCGGCCAATCCAACGATTTGGATAAACAGTTTGTAAATAATTACAAACCGCTACACTGAAATGCGCTGGTGCACCATCGTGCATGTACCACATATTGTTTCTTATTACGAACGGAACATCATCAAGCAGCAAAGGCAACTGTTGTTGAAGAAAATTGAGGTAAGTCTGTCCGTCAAGTCGTTCCGGCAAGAAGAATGGGCCAATAAAGTGATTGCCAATAGTTCCTGCCCATACGTTAAACGAAAATTGATGTTGAAAATGGGTTTTGGTTACGATATAGGGATTTTATTCTACCCACAAATGATTATTGTGGAATTTCTGAATGGCATTTCGAGAAAAATTAGCTTCGTCTGTGAACAGAATCATTGATTCAAATTGCGAATTTTGTGTATTTTTTTGAAGATACCACTGACAAAAGGTCACAGGCCTTGGAAAATCAATGGGAAGTAATGCCTGTACTCTTTAAATATGGTAAGGATATAACAAAATTCCCCAAACAAGTTGATTGCAAATATTTAATTGTTTAGCGATCTTCCTCGTACTCAATTTCAGTTGTTCTCACACTTAGAGGTCTACCTTCCGATGTTCCTTTTCGGACAGAACCAGTTTCAACAAGACGACGATGAATATTAGAAAAGGTTCGACTATCTGGCAAAGCACGATCGGGATATTTCTGGTGATAAATCCGTCTGGCTTGCTCACCATTACCGTCGGCAAGGCCATATACGTAATGCATTTCCGCCATTTCTGCATTTGAATAATTCACCATTATTAACAAGATTGTAAAAACTAAATAATGAAAAAGATGTCACAGCGAACAGATATGAATAGCAGAGACTTGTCAGATGTCAAAAGCCAGTGACATATTCCAGAGTAACTAGGTATTTATTGCTGAATTGCATTCTTCAATTATTACATTAATTTTCTCGGACAATGGAACGGTTTTTATTTTTTTACTCAGAAATGGCACTCTGAATGAAATTAATTCAAGATTTGATTTCAATTGAACGGGGAATTCAAAAACATTTTAATTGGCAAAAAACTATTAGCATACCATCTTTTCTTAAAAAATATCGAAGACAATACTCGTACGCACGCCACTGTTAAAGCTAAAAATTATTTTTGAATTGAAAAATATGCAGCTTTATTAACTTTCACTACGTACTAAATATCAGCAAAATATCTGAAGCGGTTCTGAAAATATTAAGTAATTTTCATTTTTTTCCTACAATTCAACACCCCGAATTTTTGTAAGGAAACATTTTTGGACCACAGTTTATAAAGCTAACTAACATTAATTGTTCATGTAGATTCACTCCCTTAAATATTCTCATATCATTAAGGAACACCTTGTGTATTTGAGGTTATGTAGCATGGCGAACTATTTTTTACAAAAAAGCTTAGATATCATCTAGTGCAAACATTACCCTTTCAAATGCAGTTGAGTTTGCATAGATATCTTTTTCTTTCACTGAGATATTGTACGTTAAAGTATTCATTTTTTTCCACTTTATTTGATACTTTACACGTTATGTAAGCATCGAAATTGTAGTTTGGATCGTGATACAGCAAACATTTATTAAGTTAATGCATTTTTATTAAATAAAACCTGCCGACTAAGAAATCCATAAATTTCTACTTAGAAATTTTTGATATTTAATATATATTTAAAGTGTTCTAAATATTTTTTTATAAAGCCCTAAAGAATTTAATTATTTTATTATTATTTACTATTTATTAATTTATTTAATAAATAGTCATAAGAAAAGTAATTTCCTATTACTACTACTACCCAACTAGCAAAGTAGTGATTTAAGCTTTTGGTAAAAGAGCCGTTCAGCCATAAAAGCTCTCTATTGTTGTTGACTGAACAAGAAAATGCTGGTTTAATGTTGTGTGGAATGCAAATTTGCTTTCTGCAACATATTTGCTCTAAAATGAGGTGTTTAAAATATTCTTATAGCATAGTTATACAACACCTTATAGGGCAAATTTTTAACTGTTATATAAACGTTTATACAACTATTTTATACGGCATATTCTCAAGTTAGTCAAAATGGTTGTGTTGTGGCATCCATGGTAACGTTTATAAAACAAACCCGAGCCTTGTTGTTTTGCTGTGCAATTTACTACTTTAGCCAACAAATTGCTCCCAAAAGAACCACTTATACAACTGTTGTTTAGTAACTGTTAAAGGCTGTACATATGCTAAATATGTTGGTAAATAATTTGATCATAACCTAACTTTCTGCTGTCATATTTTTGTTAAAATGCCATAACCAACGTTTTAAGACAAACAACGCATGCATATTGGTTCAAAAGGTTTTATCGACTGTTCAAACAGAAGATATAGATCTGGTACAAATTCTGGGTAAATAATTCGACTCTGTCGGTATTTCATTTCAGACATTTGTCAAATTGTTGTATAACACCTGCAGGCTACACCAAAATATTCTAATAACCTAAAGACAACATGGACGATGCCATGATTGTACACAACCACCCGCTATATTGGGCAAAGATTTATTCCTTTATTTAATATTAAATAATTATGTTTCAGTTCGAAATTACAGATATAAAGTGATAAAAATTAGTGTAATTGTGTCTAAATATAGGATTTGTGGAAGATTTAACGCAGATAAGTTCAGTTTTCCATCTTAAAAATCTAGACATACTTTTGATCATTGTCAAAATATGAATCAAATTCGGAGCCCGTAGAAATTGGGTAACTAATTTGCACGATAATCACAATAAAATTTGCTGTGCAAGTAATTCAATAGCCCTATATCACAGTGTAGAAGTTATCATATACCAGGGTATGAAATTCACAGGGGCCGATATGTAAGGTAACAAGATGACTGTAATGTGTTAGTTATATATTCTTCACTTCGTCTATACAATACATAAGAAATAGTTTGGTTGCAATAAAGTAGAATCACGTAACAGAATAGTTGTATAGTTGACAAACACTGAATCTTGCACTGACGCAAATGTCTTATAGCGGCTGCAAGAGGCTTACACTTTTGTTTTATAACTGTTACCTGCAGCCCTTATACAACCTCTTAAATGACTGAAGTGTCCTATTAGGTGTGCCCATTCCGCTTGTATAGCTGTTCTAAGAGGGTTTTGCTAATGTTCTTACAGTATACAATGCTGTTTAAGGATTACTGTATAATCATTCTTGCAACTCTAATGTGAGTGATAATTGTTAGTTGGGTACTATCTATCTATTTAGGTAATTTGAGTAGTAGTATACTACTTATTAATAAACGCAAAGACAACAATTTACTCACCTATGTTGGTCAATTTGAACGAACTCTAAGAGAACTGTGTACATCGCCTTCGGGTCTAAACCAGACGCCGTCACTTTCACTACAGGAAACATTCGTCTGAAAAGTGTTGATTTTTGAGAATTAAACAAGCACTTGCTCAATTAGCGGACAAACACTAAATATCAATGTCCTGCTAATTACTGAAAATTAGTGATTAATTAGTAAAAAAATGTGAATTGTCTAATTACTGGACGATTAGACAACATGGAGAATTAATATTTCAATCATTGTGCTGGAGACATGGTCAAATATAGCTGTGAAATTTGTTTGAATGGAGTAGGAAAACATTTTCCCTTAATAATTATCTAATAGCCTTGTTGAGCCACAGTTACTCTGCCATGCCACATAGCAACACATGGCGATAAGGTGTGTCAGCAATGGGGCGTAGCATACCAGGCGAATGACATCCTTGGTTTTGCGTGGTACTTGTACATTCTTATTTCAAATTTTTCGAAAACCGTTTTGTATACGTGTGATTGAATCTCACTGATACCCCCCATCGGTGTGTATGTAATATTGATGTACATAATGTGAAATAATTCAGTTATTGTATGAAACATATATTGGTCGTGTGTTCTTTGTCGTCTCTTTTCGTGATTAGTGTTAGCATGTGATTCAACACCACAGGATTTCAAATCCGAGGAAACCACTTGCCTGACAATAACTCAATTGAGTCGACTTTATGATTCAATAGAAAAATAAAAATATAAAGTATATTTGTTTTTTATTCCATTAAATCTGCGGCAAATATTATAAAATTGAACCATATTCTTCTTGCAACTAAAAAAGCGGTTTCTCAAGTTTTGATAATACATACATAGGCAAACTGACATAGTACAAAAGAAGAGAAATTATGCTAAATGTGAAATAAAAAAAATGCTTAAAAGAGGGTAGAAGAAGGTCCAGTAAGAATTATCTTCAAACCATATACAATAGGCCAAAAATATCTTATTTAACTTTTGTTTCTGATGTGTAATTTTGTTTGATTTTAGAAACAATTTTGTGAAAACCCTTTAATGGAAGCGCTTGCGGCAATAAAGCCGCAATTACTTTATTTCGAGAAATCTTATGTCATAAGCTTTATCTACGGAAAAAGAAAGGATCATGCGGAATTGCTCATTATTTTTTTTCTATTTGTTATAAGTTTTATGTTACGTAAATCCTGAAATCACGTCGCTTGCTTAATTTCGATTGAATGAAAAGATTTTGTTAAAACAGAATCGAAAAAATATAACATGTTCGTAAAATAAATGGGCATTTCTCAGCCTTTCTGAGCCATTGACGCTAAGTTGCATGGATTAATCATCAATTTAACATTTTTATTATATCAATAAGTATCTTCGCTAATATTTTAAAAGCAAAAAATTAGATAATATATTGACACAAAAAAATACGATTAATTTATTAGTCTAAAAGTCATTCCCTCATCTCGTACCTGGGTCTGGGTATGGATTGTATAGTCAAGCTTTCATTGCTAAAAAATAAATATGTATATAAAAAATCTATTTAAACGATGTCCCTTGAAATGAAATCATTCCCTCACCCATTATAAATATTCGATTTGTGGTCACACCATTTGATATTTTTGAACGCAGCTGTTATGTTCTTAAAACATGGCAATACTGCTAATAGTGTCAACATGGTGGAATTTCTTAATAGTGAAAAGAGTTGCTGCAAAAAAGTGGATTTCAATAATTAAAACATTACATTTCTCTGTGTCATTACCCCACTGTTAATATTAAAAGGTAAGTCATTATACTGTTCGAATGGTTAATGATGTTTTTCTTGTTTTGGGGAGTAAAATGCATTCAAAAAATACTAAATCAATTTGAGGTGATCTAGTGTTGGTTACGGTGTCGTTTATGCAAATCCGTCATTCCCTCACGGTTACTCCCTCATTATATTAGAAAGTGAGGCAATGAAAATTATATGAGGGAATCAATGTTATATATACAGGGTGCGGCAGAGAGGATGGACGGTTTTAAAAAATTCATAAAATAGTTAATTTTTACTCAAAAACAAATTTATTGATGGAATCAGGTTCACAAGGAAATAGCATTTGAGACAGTCAAGTGTGGAAAATCACATCAGGTATGTGGTGGCCGAAATCGTCGATGCAGTGCTGGAGGCGTTCTTGGAAGTTCGCGTAGAGTCTCTCCAGCATCCCTCTCTCAACTTGGGCGACTTCCACGCGAATTTCGCACTTCAATTCGTCCAGATTTCGGGGCTTGTTGGCGTATACTCTATCCTTGAGGTGTCCCCATAAGAAAAAATCGCATATGGATAAATCTGGGGACCGAGGAGGCCAATGAACATTGCATAAACTGGCTGTAACTGTTGCACAATGGCCAATTTGTAGGGGTGAAAGCGGAGATCCATATGCAAAATTCGCCTTACCAAACGATCACTAAGGCGAAGTGCAGCAGCATGTTTCCGGGCAGATCGAGTCGGACTGCGAAGAAAGACCTGTCGAACGCGTTCAACATTTTCAGGAGTTCGAACTGTTCGCGGCGCTCCCCTTGGTCTTCTGTTGATCAGTTCACCACGCCTGCGAAGTGATTCAACCCAACGAAGGATGGTGTTTCGAGGGGGAACAGCTCTATTCCGATGAATGTTGAAGTGGCGACGAAACTCACGCTGAACGATGATGACTGACTCATTATTTCGGACTAAAGACGAAAAGAAATTTAAAAAGGAGTACGACAGAAAGAGGCGAGAACAAATGAAAATTAATGCTGAGTCTTTAGAAGCTTTGCGTGAAAAAGAAAGATTAAAGTATTTAAAGAAGAAGCTAAGTCAATAAGTCCTATGAGTGCAAGAGAAACTAGCCAAAAACGAAAACAATGGAAAAAGAATAGTAAAGTTTACCGGGAAAAGCGAGTTACATTACAGACAAATTTACAGAGAATAGTTGAAGACACACCCCCACCAAGTCCTGCACCATCTTTACAGCACAGAGCAGAGAATTTGTCTGCTATCAATAGTCGTAGAACGCGCAAGCGGCGAACTATTCTGTACGCGAAGATTAAAAGTTTGGAAAATAAAGTAAGGAACGCTTAGCGAAAAATATAAAAAGAGGTGTTTGAGATTGAAAACTAAAAATACTGACCTAAACTCTCCAGCAACTAAAGTTTCTTCGCTTTTAAAGAATATGCAAGTTCCTGACGTTCTAAGAAAAAGACTTATTTTCGGAGAAACGGACTGCCAACGGACAACAAGAATATCTATGAAGATCTTGGAAGTAAACATGGAGGAAAGAAAAAATATTACTTGTTGAAGCTGTAGTAAGTACAAAAGATACAAATTGCTGTATAGATCGAAACATTGTTTCAAAAGCGATACGTACACAAAGAACTGTACTCATAAAGTTGGCTTCAAAATGCTGAAAGTTAGGGATGAGGTTGTTCATTTCTTAGAGAATTATGAAAATACGAGGATGTGCCCTTTAAATTATAAAACAAATCTCAATGCATCTATTAATGAATTAACTTATGTTTGTTATTGAAATTCAGCATCAAATTGTCGTAAAAATCATTCCCCCATCCTATCAGTCATTCTCTCATTTCATAGTTTTTTAAGTCATTTTTCTACATGTTATACACAAAAATATGGAGGACTTTCATTTTCAATGAACCTCACTAAAGTAAGACTTTATATTTGTGCAAACAAGGATATATTTTCATTATTTTATTTTAAGAAACGCAAAATGAAATTTCTAAATTTGTTGAGAAATACCCAAATTCATCTTTGAAAATAGGGTGGTTTGGTGCCTTATTGAAAAAAAGTTGTACTGCAAGGATAATTTAAAAATATTTTGTCTCATGAAAATATAATTTGAGTGTTCATTGTTAGACTTGAAACAGCATACTTTATTATATTTGATGGACTGCTTATTTTTGATAAATATTGAGTCAAATGAGTGAAAGTTCTGTTTTTCCAGGGTGCAGAAAGGCTGCAGAATTTCAGCAATATTAATAATAAAGGACCAAGCACAAACATATGGAAAATGGGTCCCGTCAAATCCATATGATATATTTCCTGCCTTCCCGAGCAAAGAACGTCCATGGGGCCAGAGCAATCCTATGATTAGCTTATGAGAAATAGAGAAATAGGCGGATAAAGTTTGTCTGGTTTACAAAAATGGTGAATGTGCCGATTGTAGTTTTCAGACGAAAAACTAGGAGAATCAGTATACTGAAAGAAATATTTCATTAGAACACCATGTAGGACGGTCTTGGGAAGTGAAATGTCGATCGTTACCATGATAAAATCAGTTTCCGGGCAAGTTGATTTTTATATATACCCTAACCGTGTCGAACTGACCGATACGACCGCTCCTTTGTCCCGAGGGTATCGAGATTGTAGAACAATCTACAAGAGGAAGCTTTTCCCAGTTCTACTAACCTTAGGCAGTTCAAAAATCGTATTAACAAAATTGCTTTGGAATCATCACAGCAGCCGCGGTGTTCCGGCATTTAGGCTTCTGCCTGCGCGGCTGCTTCGATATATAAAAAAAATGTTTATCTTGAATATGGAAGGGTGAGAAAAAGTGCACTAATATGAACGTAGCTTTGGGGTATTGTATTTTACTTGAGTTTTCTTGTTTTGGTCTAATCTATTCAACATCTACGATTTCATTTATTAGCCGATGTAAGCTAGATGAATAAGTTAAAACTTAAAGCATTGTTTGCACATGTGCGCCTTTTCTTTCACCTTCAAAATGAACATGACCTTGTAAGGTATCTAGTGGTATTGAAAAACTAATACAAAAAATTGCACCATAAACTAATTTACGTTTTGTTTTCGGATTTAAGTGGCTTATAGCTTTCTTGGCGTACAAATGTGTTGGATATTGTGATTGGTCAAAAACGCCATTTATAGCGAGATTTATCAGCATTTTGTCAAAAAAATCATACCCAAATTTTTATTGAAATACGGCATAGATACCTTATTGCCCCAAGCCGTCTTTCAGTGTTCGTTCCCTTCATGTTTCTTAACAGAACTTTTCTAAATTTCTATAATTACCTTCCGCTCTTCGTTACAATCATCTCATTGGTGAAGCATTGGAATCTGATCCAGAGATCCCGGTCGTCCAGCGTGACAGCGAGGTCCTTTTCCGTCGGATCTCCTTTTTCCTTTCCGGTGTTTATTTCAGATTCTACCACGGAAAGGATATGCTGTTGTGCCATTGGCCTAAAAGAAATTTAATCGGATTCAGAATTTAATTAAAGCTGGTATTGTGAAGCTGTAATTAAATGTGGGATTGGACTCGGCATAAAGAAGCTTCAAATATGAACCCTTAAAATCCCGCTTAAAATTGTGTGATGAACATCTGGAACTCATAAGCGACATATTAGTCCAGGAAGTGATGGGAAAAATATTCTGATTCGGTTTTTTGCATAATCTTGTTCAAAAACTAGTCTGCATGTTGCCAGGACCAAAATTGCGCCAACAATTGTTTAAACAATTTTTAAACTAATACAAAAATGGTCTTTCCGAGCAAAAAAGCTTTTTTCTAAAACTGATAGACTTTGTGCTATTTAGTATTAATATTAATGATACTACATTGTTAGTAGTAATAATAATAATAAACGACTTTTATTTAAGGCGAAGTTTAGCTACAAGCAATTCCACCATAGGATTCGAGAATTAATCTACGTATATTTAATATTTTAAATCGTGCAAAACATGATATTTTCGGTACCAAATATGAAAAAACGAAAATTTTTATGTCAACAACGTACTTAAATATACTTCATACATTTATTAACAAAATCCCAGAACCCGGATTTGAAAAAAGTGCGTAGCTCAAAAAATGTTCGACTTTATACTAATGCATATGATACATTAAAAGCTCATGACTGGTCAAAACTTCCAAAAGTAGTTTAGTAAGGACATTGGTCAAAACCAGTTAAAAATATCGAACAATAGTGATTTTGACTAAATTATACCGGTCAAAAATGGTTGTATCTAAGAACCAAAACTACCCACGACTGGCAATCAGAAAGACAGATCACTTAGATATACGAATTTAAAAAACAGAAATCTCAGATCTTGTTGGTATCTGTCAAGTGGACAGGATTTGCACCCCTAAGAGCTATGTGGTGTGGCTGTGATGTGATATGACATGTGTTCTATCGTGTGTTTGTGTTTCAAATTTTTTCACCAATCACATGTTGAAATTTCCCATTGACCGTGAATTTATAATTATTCGTGGAAGCGACATATTATAATTTCATATTACCTATATTGATGCTTCGGGTTATTAGATTTTATTTACATTTCAGTTATTTCGCCTTATTCTCAAGGTTTCTGTGATGTATACACCTGTAGATTGCTACTTTTACATGAGTTGGATAAACACTACGCAAAAATCGTCATCAGCGGTCACAGTAATTTCTAGATAAATATGATGGAAATTCAAATATCATGTGTCAGGAAGATTAACTTGGTACATCTATCAGATAGTTGTAGCATTTTAGAAAGAACTGCTTTGGAATTTGAATTTCTAATATCTCAGAGTTCTCCAAATCTTTCATAATTTCTCTCCTGAAGTGAGATATGGAATGCATAGTCAGCTTGTCAGATTTTTTCAAACAACCGGCTTACAGTTGTTATATTGAAGATACACAAGAGTCATTACTTATTAATAAAAAAATCCTTTGTTCATTTCAGAAACGGCATAAACAAAATTCCTAGAGTAATTTATTTTAACCATAATGAACATCGTGAGTCATAGTGAATGTTTTTGCAGAATTTTTTGATATTGAGCTCACTTATTCAGTTCCTATCTAGGAATTTAAAGTTTTGTCCGCTATTAAGAAACTAAGAAACCAAATGACATCTGGTCAGGACAGTATACTATCATTTTTAATCAATAATACTGCCTCAGCGATCGTTACTCCTCTCACCTTTTTATACAGCTTATGCTTAAAAAACAATACTTTTTCAAATATGTGGAAAATAGCGTATGTCCTGTGTGTGAGAGTAGTGACAAAAATAATATTACTAATTATCGGCCTGTGTCAATTGTTTCCTGTAACCTGTTATTTCGTTTTTTCCTCCGGAACTACTTGGAATTGCGAAACTTTCTAAGTATCATCTTATACTAAGTGACATATAAATCCGAACACCCAGTTTAAATGGTTTTATTTTAATAAAAGTTAGTGAATGTATTTATCTTACTGTAAATAACAAGTGAAAAAATTTTCAGCCTTATCAGTTGGTTTTTATACTGCTTTTTTTTAATTCACTAACGCTCTTAAAATGAATATTTCAGCCGCAGTAAAGAATCAACGTTGGCGGATTTTGGTTCTTGACATCCTTTACGATCGGTTACGATGCCTAGAGTACGGAGACCTGTACTATTTCGTCAACTTAGTGAGTTTGATAGGGACCGTATAGTGGGACTTCGGGAAGCTGGACTTTCTTTTCTGGCAATTGCAGTTAGAGTGCAAAGAAGTGTAGACACTGTGGTTAGGTGTTGTCAGGCATGGCTTCGAGAAGGCCGTACGCAAAGAGCAAGGGGCACTAGACGCCGCCGTAGAACAACAGACCGTGAAGATCGCCGCCTAAGGTTATTGGCCTTAAGGGACCGTTTCTCCACTCCAGGTTCATTGCAAATGAATGGTTTGCAGAACACGGAAGACCTATTGGCATGCCAAGTGTTTACCGATGAATCAGAAGTTTTGGCTTGTTTTCCTACCGGCCACACTGGGTCCTCCCTTTAACTCGAGAACACCGACGTAATCGCCTTGAGTGGTGCAGACAACGGTCACTCTGGGATCAGGAATGGAACAGTATTGTCTTTAGTGACGAGTCTCGATTTTGTTTAGGCATGCACGATGGTCGTGCCAGGGTTAGAAGGCGACGTGGTGAAAGGAGGAATCCACAGTTTTTTGTTGAAAGACATGTTCATCACACTGTTGGAGTTATGGTTTGGGGTGCTATAGCTTATGGTTCCAGGTCACCTTTAATCTTCATCAGAGGTAACATGAACGCGCAGCGTTATATCCACGTAGTTCTAGAACCCCATCTTTTATCGTATCTTGACACCCTGGCAGATCTAACTTTCCAAAAAGATAATGCCCGACCACATGTTGCAAGAGTCACAATAGACTCCTTTCAACATAATGATGTCACATTGTTACCATGGCCACCAAGATCTCCCGACTTATCCCCAATTGAGCACGTGTGGGATATGATGGGTAGGAGATTGCTCAATTTGCAACGTCCTCCTCTGACTCTAGAAGCACTTCGAGAGGAGTTGGTGGTTGCCTGGAATGAGATACCACAGGAGGACATTGACCACCTGATCAAAAGCATGCCTAGGCGCGTTGGAGAATGCGTAGCACATCAGGGTGCATCCACACATTATTAAAGGTCAAAGGGCTTTAAAGCAGTGCAATCATTTTCAAATTTTGATCATTTACTTATTATGCTTTATTAAGTACTTAAACAAAATTTTATTAAAATAAAACTAATTAAACTGGGTGTTCGGATTTATATGTCGCTTAGTATACATTGCTTTCTGAAAAGCATCCCTTTTTTAAGCGGAAAATCTTACATTCTCTTTTGTGTTCCAATATTCGGGTTTTTAAGTACCTTTTTGTTTCCCTATATATAATTTATCACAATCTTTGCATGTGATTGTTGTTTTGTTCGAATTTTGTCTTTAAGTTTAGTAAAAACAATTTTTTCCCACATTTTTTCAGGCACGAATTTTTTATTTTAAAATAAGAACTTATTATTGGACACGTTGGTCTTTAAGTTATTCTTTTAAATTGTAGCCATTTTTTCTAGGCCTTTTTTTAGACGTGGAATCCAGTTTTCCACTCCCGCCTCAAGGAAGTGCGTCGCGAGCCCGCTTGGGAACTTGGTCCAGGGTGTTTCAGAACTAAGGGCTCAAACTTCTATTGGTTATAAAGTGTAACAGTAGAAAACATTTGAGTATAGGCATATCCGTAAAAGTGTCCCTACGGCACTACGGCCCTAAGACGCGTTAAAATTTAGAAAGACGATGAATTGCCTAAATAGGATTTAATGCATTTAATGTTTGCCTTTTGTACATGATATCATCACAACAATTGTTCAAAATGTCTTCTTCCAACCTGAATACACCGATTTAAACGTCGCACATGATTTCGGCGGACTTGACTAAACACTTGATACTCCTTTTGAATGATTTCAAATGCTGCTGTAATTCGCCCAATTAAGTCTTGCTCTGTGTCTACTGGAGTTTCGTAAACAAAAGACTTTACGTGTCCCCACAGGAAGAAATCTAGCGACGTTAAATCGGGTGACCTAGGAGGCCAAGAAACTGCTCCACCTCTGGCAATCCAAAGGTGCCCAAATGTTTTCTACTGTTACACTGAATAACCCCTACAAGTTTGATCCCATAGTTCCGAAACACCCTGAATATGCTCCTTGATACTCCTCGTCCGTCTCGAACCGTTGACCACTTAGTCTTACGCTTTGGATTTGCCAGTCTCAGATTTTCCAGGAGCCTCAGAAACTTCAACTACCTGTTCCCGGATCGTGGTTTGGTTATACTCTATCCTGGAATACTTCATATGGGTAGCTTTTCATACACATCTTTTCCAGAACGCCACTGGATAATAAGCTCGTAAGACTCATACACTAGTTCAACATCATATCATTCCAGATAATCCAGAACATGTTTTTCTATTGCGGCACACACATGTTAAATGACCGGAATGAACGTACGTTGGCGCCGCAGTGGAAATTGAATTGCCCGGAGCGCTTTTCCAGGTTTTTCCGGGTTGGGTCAGCAACTGGTCTGCCTGCTGAAAGATACGGCAATGTTCGCTGTTATGGCCTCTTAAGGACTGACCTACTTGATGCGGGGGAGGTAATGAATTTGAAGAGTGCATTATAACTCGACAGTGTATGAGAGGATTTTACGCGCTAGCCCGGCTTTGTGGAAATAAGAATACATTGCACAGAAAGGTTTCCGATAAGAACTGGTTCTGTTATTTTACTTCCCAGTAATTTTCGAAAATGAGGTATTATGCTACATGGCATGTACATCACGATAAAATATGTCATTAATATGTCTGCTAATACAGGGTGTCCCAGACGTCGACGTCAAGCCGAACCCTGGTGATAGGCAAAGTCATAACAACTATCAGAAAAATATTTAAAAAAAAATTATGTATGTGTTTTGAAAATTA